CCACTTTGGCTCCTTTATGCTGGATGAAAGAGCCAAGCTACATAAAGGGGCTCTAAAAACCCCAGATTTGGCCCAGAGAGGATTCATAATCTGTCCCAGAATCATAGCATATCAGGGTTGGAAGGGACCTCAAGAGGTCATCTAGTCCAACCCCCTGCTTAAAGCAGGACCAATCCCCAATTTTTGCCCCAGATCCCTAAGTGGCCCCCTCAAGGACAGAACTCAGTGCTGGGTTTAGCAGGCCAGTGCTCAAATCACTGAGCTATCCCTCCTCCCCAAAGGTGTGCTCCTCCCCCCCAGTCTCCAGCTCCACACTCCATCCCTCACCTGCGAGTTTTGGGGCGCAGCTTATGAACTAAGTTGCCTTGTAGTGTAAACATTACATAGTTGAAAGATCCTGGGGACTGAACACAGAACTGTAACAGCTTGTTTCTAGCTGTCGGTTAAAGCGCAGTCAGCTGCCTGCTAGTCAACACCTTCCATTCTGGTTTGGAAAACAGTTAAAATCAACTAAGTTCCGTTGCTGGAAGGATTCGTAGAGATGCCCCAGGCCATCCCTGTGTTGCTGGCTTAGGAACTAGCCCAGGGTGGCCCTCGTCATGCATTCTGCTCTGCCTGCCAAACTCACTGTTGCTCTTAATCCCCTACAGGTTCAGCTGAGCTCCACCACCCAGCATCCAGAGGCTCCTGTTCATGTTGCTGGGTTCCACCTGCCTTCCAAGGTCACTCTTTGCATTAGCTATGGTAGTGGTCTCGTATCCGCCGATGAAAGGCGCTAGCATGGGCAGCGGGGGGTGGGAAAGAGCCTTCCACACTTATGAAGGCTCATCCTCTGCTGTGGGATAGGCCAAGATCTTTGTATCCTGGGGGAACTGAGGCAGAGGGATGTTCAGGACTTGTCCAAAATCACACAAGTCAATGGTAGAATATACTCCTTGGGAGATTCTGCACCAAAAAAAAAATCAATTCTGCAAAAAATTCTGCATATTTTATTTGTCAAAATAATGCAATATAAAAATCACACCAGTTTCAATTGTTTTGGTAATTTATTTAAAGTACAATACAGAAAAAAGTCACTATTCAGCATTTCCTAAACACCTGAAAGTTAAGTTACCGACACTTGGTAACTAATTCCAGGATTGTAACTGGAATGTAGGGTTTCTCATTTGAATTACATTACAGAACACCAAATAGCCCCCCAAAAAAAAAAGTCATTTTAAATTGCTCAGACTTTCACACATGAAAGTCATACAGCAATCAACTGTGCAGGCACTTTCCTGTGTCCCACTAACTTTCTTCTATTTGTTCAAACCTAGTCCAAGCACTTGGAGGAAGATGCATGTCTGTCCACATCTGAAAGTGGCCTGCGTGCAGCAGCAGAGGAGAGCCAAGAGTTCAGCTCCTTCCTGTACTGGAGGAACCCTCTGCCCAGCATTGAAGAGGACTTGCAGGAGCTGCAGGTGAGAGGCAGAGTCTCCTCTTTAATTCCCTATTCTTTGCCCAGTTCATTTTAGCTGCTGCCTCCTTGCTCCCTGGTTTCTGTGGATTCTCTTGCTGGCTCACTCCTGTCTACCTTTGTGGCTGTTAAGTTGGTGCCCCCTTCTCCGGCAGCACTCATCTTGTCTGTCTAGGTGATGCATAGCTCACATCTGACTGAGTGTCTCTCACCTTCCAGAAAGTTCACACGGTTTCCATTAGCCCAGAGGTACCGGTGGTTCTCCAGTCTGGGGAGGATGGAAGTGAAGGGGACAGTGATGATGGTGAAGGCTGGATAACTCCCGACAACATCAAACGGATCCAGCAGGGTATGGGGCATTGTGATGCTCCTGCCAATGTGCAGGTCGGCTGTGTGACCACAGACTTTGCCATGCAGGTAAGGAGTGACTGGGTGACTGCAGTTATAACATGCCTAGATGAATGGAGGTCAAAGCAGCAGGGCTTCTGCAAAGAGAAGATTCCGCTTCTGCTGGACATCACTCAGCAAGTCAGCAAAATAACGGATAAAGGAGGAGAACTAGGGCATGTAATTCATTAGGGCTTTCCAAACCAATGAAGTATGTACACACAAACACACACACACACCCCGCAGGGTGAGAAGCAAAGTACCTGGGTCTGAAACTGGCTTCAGTGGTCAGTTTGTAACATGGAGTCAGTGGGGACACCTAAGCATGAGTGGAATGCCAGAAACATCTGCACTCTATTGCCCTGTAACTGCCCAATGAGAAAAGGGGTGAACAAAGGCTGTTGCGTCACTGCAGAATGGCATTTTGGTTAGTCGGCTCTAGAGAAGAGATGGGCCCTAACAAAGCTAGGTAAATAGTCAATACCTGGTTTTAGGGCATAAACTAACCTCTAACGAATAGGGGTTAGGAAGAAAGACACACCTCCAAGGGCAGTTTATTGCCTAAATTGTCCAACACCAGGTTTCCTGAACTTTCTTCTGCTGCAGCAGGTACTGGCCCCTGGGAGAGGTTCCTAGGCTAGATGGACCCCTGTGGGCTCTTCTGTCTACACTGTGGTAACAAGACTCCAAGGCTGCAGTCAGTGCTTTCAGCTGTACTGGGGAGCAATAATGCCTCACCCAGCTTTGGGCATACATCTCCTCCCAGAACTATCTTTAGGCCATCCACGAAGCTGGTTCTGTATCAGAGGCCTGCCATCTATGTGTTTGCTACAATTCTGTCAATGTGCATTGTTGTTTGTATGTTGATTGGTGCCTTTAAGAGCTGCCTGGAGGTTCCTCCTACAGGGTTTTCCCCATGGCTGTTTCTTCTCTTTATAGAATGTTCTGCTCCAGATGGGTCTCCACGTGCTGGCAATGAATGGCATGCTGATCCGGCAAGCCAGAAGCTACATCTTACGCTGTCATGGCTGCTTCAAGTACGTGTCGCAAGCATCGGAACCTGCTAGTGAAGAGCAGCGTTACTCTTGCCAGGGAGGTGTCAGGGGGTCATTGGTGCTTAGCCAGCTGAGTGGTGCAATATAAATTTTAAACAACACAGTTGAGTGCAGACAGGGGGATTAAGCCCAGGTATCTCAGTTCTAACCAGTACTATCCCCTCTTCGTCCTGGGCTTCCTCTGAGCAGGGACGGCTACTTTATCCAAATTCCGTGGTGGAGTATATTTGGGGGGATAAATGCCTGTCATGGGTTAAGTTTGGACTGAACAAACTCATTCAGATTGCAGCCTAGGTCCTGAGACTCCAGTAATGAAAAACAGGTGCATTAAGCCAGCGCATCACCTAACTCCATGGGTTGCCTTCCTCTTTTGGGATCTTTTGTACAGACTGGCTCCATCCTCTCTTATGAGGGTTTGGGACTTTGAGCCCAGACCAGCTGGTTGCTAGAATCCAGCTTCTGGAGAGTGCTGCAGCCACCCGGGGACACTGGAACATTGAACCCTTCTGTGGTTTTCTAGGACAACATCTGACATGACCAGGGTCTTCTGTCCGCACTGTGGCAACAAGACACTGAAAAAAGTTGCAGTGAGCGTGGGCGCCGATGGCACCCTCCACATGCACTTCTCCCGCAACCCAAAGGTCCTGAACACACGAGGGCTTCGGGTGAGTAGCTCATCACTGGGCCTTAGGCACAACATGCTGGCTGGTGTGCGGTCATGACAGCCTAGCAACACTGAGTGAGAGCACTGAGGTCTCTTGTTAATGGCTTGGGGCCCCAGGCACAGAGGCCTGCTGGGGATGTTTTCACATTCCAGTGGTGAAACAATACAGGGTTTGGTTTCACTTGTGCTATGGCTTGTGGGTATGGAAGGAGTTTCTCAGATTAAGACCAGCAGGGACCACTGTAATAGTTTGGCCTGGGCTCCTGCCATAGGATTTCCCTGAATTAATTTCTGCATCCAATAGCTGTGATTGAACTAGAGCACATCTTTCAGAAAATCTTGATTTAAAAGCTTCCAGTGTTGGAGAATCCACCACGACCCTGGTAAATTTTTCCAGGTGGTTAGTTACCCTCACTTAGTTCTGGCCTACATTTGTTTAGCTTCAACTTCAAGCCATTATTACGCCTTTGTCTGATAGATAGAAGAGCCCCCCCATCTTAAATTTTGGTGCCCTATGGAGGTACGTAAACTGATCCAGTCACCACTTCACAGATCACTGTTTGAGTCTCACTATTTGGGGATGAGTTCCTGGGAGGAGCCAGCCTCCATCTAATGTCCTAGCTTTGCAAGGGGACTCTGCTCCTTAATGACTCTTACTCTTTCTCGCAGTACTCGCTACCTGCGCCCCAAGGGGGGAAACACGCCAGCAACCCCCACTTGGCTGAGGACCAGCACTTTCCTCAACAGCGGCTTTCCCGGAAGGCAAGGCAGAAAACCAATGTCTTTGACCCGGATTACATTGCAGGGGTTTCCCCCTTTGCCGAAAACGATATCTATAGCCGTGCAGCCAACCTGCAGATCCGGGATGCAGCTCTGGGTGCAGGCCGGCGGCGCATGAATCCTAACATAGCGACCAAGAAGTTTGTGAGGAAGAGATGAAGGGAGGGGACTCAGCTGTGATCTGGCTGCATCATGAGGGAAGGGCTGTTGACTCAGGGCAATAAGCAATGCCACACTTTCATGTCTGGTCTCAAAAGGATAAGAATTGTTGCAGGGCATCCCAGTGCGATTCCAAAGCTTGCTGTGCTGGCTGGATTCAGAGGGCATTTGGGCCACTGCTTCTATGCTCAGCTGGCCATCTAGTGAGCCAGGAGACACCTGTGACTGGATGGCAGCATTGAGCCTGTTAAGTGATTCGCTGAGATGAGGATTCTGAGCTGCAGGAGGGAAGAAGGTGGTACTTCATCAAACTAGATCTGGAAAGCAAACCTGCCTTTTATCCACTCCTGCTGCTTTTCCTGAGCTGTATAACCACGTCTGACACTTCAGCATTTCTAATAAAGAAGGGAATTGCATTTCATGTGTTTCACTTCCAGTGGAAAAGGGCCTGGAGCTGTTGGCTACACTCCAATAAGGTACAGATGGTTGACTGAACCAGCTGTGAAAGTAGTAAACGGTAGAACTTGGCCCCATGTTGGCCCTTGCCTGAAGATGCTGGAAATGCAGCTAGTGCTCAGGGTCCCATTAAGAGACCAAGCGGGGTGGTCGTGTCTGATGTACGCATTGTCAGTGGTGAGGGATCCGTAACAAGGACAATCAGGCTCAAGGTGCCCGTGCTGTTGCCGGAGCCAGTATGTGCAGCTGGAGGAAGCCACATGCTTTTCCATGACTTCTGGCTCCCAGCTGTGAGTTGCTGAGATAGTTTGATCCCAGAGCCTGCTGGAGAGTTAAGGGTGACAGCTTCTCTTGGTGCTGGCTGGGCGACCTATCCAGCTTCTTTCTCACTGCAGGAAGTACAACCCCCAGTGAAAGTTAAGTGTTGTATGCACACACCAGGGCAACTTGCCTACACTCTGTGCTCTGTACACACAGCATAGGATGGACGATAGCCACGCCTCCTTAGTCCATTCCCTGTGAAGAGACAGGAGTAGAGTTTGCACCCATCCCATTGGGCTTGATAGCCATTACCTGCATTGCCACAACAGCAACCTCACCACATAACCAAGGGCAGAAGCTAGGTGCTGAGGTAGAGTCTGTTCCTTCATATTTACCCATGACAAACTAACATCTCAGCAAGTAGCCTCAGACAACAAGGCTGGAGCAACAGCTGCACCAGCATCATGAGCAACACAGCTTGGAGCATCCAGACAGAACCCTCAGGAACCTGTGTTACAAATCCATTGGCGAGCTTCCTGTAAGTTAGGCAGAAGGTCCATATTCAGGTGTAGCAGGGCTTGGAGCCTCACCCAGTTCTGCTGCAGTGGGATGGATGTGAATAGGCTGAGTGGTCAAGGTAAAACTGGAAATAAAGGCTGTGATCGTGTAAAACCCTGGGGAGGAGTTTTGACACTTTCTCAGGGTGCCCAGAACCAAGTCTCCTATTACCCCCCTGCCTCAGCAAGAGACACATGTGCTGGTGCTAATTTGGGTATCAGCCCCCACCAATCCTGTCTGTTAGCCACTCAACCATTGTTCTCAGGCTGCTTCTAGCATAGCCCTACTTTGCCCTGCAGGTTAACACTGTGTACCCCAGTCCCTGCCTCCTAACAAACAATCCCCTATGGTTCCCAGCCCCTATCTCTGGATGCTCAGGGTATTGACCCAATCAGCTGTCCCCAGGGGGGGGATACACACACAGGCTTGTTCCATTCAGCTGACTCCCAGCACCACTGTAACTTAGTGAAAACAAATTAAGTTTAACAACAGTTAAGATGTATGACGTAGTGAGCAAGAACAACAACAGGTACAATGTGCTTCTAGTCTAAACAGGCTAAGCCCTTGTCTAAAGGAATGATCTTACCCAACTGTCGTTTGCAGTGCTTTCAACCAAACCCTGCTTGAGATCCCATTTTCATTAATGTTTCATTGATTTCATTTTCAACACTGCCCAGTTACTCCCTGGGTGCAGGCCAAAACAAGGCTCCTTGTGCCTTCCTCTGATACCCCAAGTTTATAGTCTTTGCAGCCCTGAAACAATTTAGTCTCTGTTGTCTTCTCATGTTGACCTGAAGTGCAGATTCAGCTACCATTGTGTTCTTATGACTTACAGTGCTTCATTTAAGCAGGGGCAAGTGAATAGACATGGTTGGTCTGGCAGAAACACCTGTTTGTCAACTGGGCCTGGTTACATAGTTTAAAACCTATTTAGTGGCTACACAACTCCTTACACGCCATCCATACGTACATCTTGCAATGCCTATGATGACCAGTGTGTCACCATCTTTCATTTGATACCTTACAAAACACAATGGATAAATACCAGGAACTAGTGTGTTAGGTATAGCGAGTTTGTCAGGCCTGATAGGAATTGCTCTTATAGAACAGTTGACCCTTTACCAGCTTGCAGTGAGGGGTTCTGGGGGTCACAGGAGTTCCTAATGCTCTTGTTCTTTAGAAATGGCCTCTAGTCACTGACCGGCAGCAGAGTAAACCCTCAGGAGGTCACCTTGCTCAGCATCTTCACTAAACTGTGTCCTTTTTCTGTGAGCTCGCTGCTTCGAGGTGTCACTTCCTCTAAAGGAGGCCTGCAAGCCAGCACTACAAGCACACCTAATCTGTGGTGCAGGGATAGCTGGATAAGGCTTCCTATAGCTGGAGAATATGCCCCCCCGCATTTCTGTAGGAAGTGGGTAGAATCCAATTAAAGGTCTGTTGTGCTGCAGTTTGCCTCAGTGACTTCAGATGAAGCTTGTTAATGAAATTGCCTCTAATGAACTCTGCTAACAAGTCTGGCATAAAACCCAATCAGATGTGTGGTGCTCACAGCTCTGTTGCTTCCAATGGGGAGAAGGAAGCCAATAAATACCAGATTGAAGAGTGAACTGACTTAAGATACGTTGAAATCTCAGCCAGAGGCTCTGGGTGCCATGGCAGTATTTTAAATCCTAATGCGCATTAGATGGAATGGGCCTGATGCCTGCTGGGAAGGCACAGACTGGAGAGGAGTATAATGAATCTTTTTGTAATAACGTCAATGTATATTGGCTTCCAACTGCTCTTTCCTTGCTCACAGCACAATGTAGGGGGAGCGTTCACAGGGTCTCCCTCCCATTAAGTGCTGCTTAAAAATACAAACAAGCAGCACAAAGGTGCTTTGTCAGACAAACAGCTCAAGGAAACCCACTGAAAATCAACACATAGAACAAACCAGGTCTCCATGGGGCAGAAAGGTTACGTTAATGCCAGCCAGGACCTGGAAAATCTGAGCAAGCCAGTGCTACAGCCCGCTCAGTAGGACCAGCTGGGTGCAAGCAAACAATGTGTTTTACTGTAGCTGAATGTAAATCTCTACATTTACAAAGACCATAGGTTGTACTTACACAATAGGGGACTTTTCTCTGGGAAGCAGTGACTCCAAAAAAGATTTGGGGGTAGTGGTGATTAATCAGATGAACATGAGCTCCCAGTGTAACGCTGTGGCCAAAAGGGCTAAAACGATCCTGCACACATACTAGAATCTCGAGTAGGGAAAGGGTTTTACCCTGTATTTGGTACTGGTGCAACTGCTGCTGGAAACGTGTCCAGCTCTGGTGCCCCCAAGTCAAGAAATATGTTGATAAATGGGACAGGGTTCAGTGAAGAGCCACGTAAATGGTTAAAGGACTAGAAAACTTGCCTTTTAGAGACTCAGCTTCTTGAGTCTATCCATTTAGCTTAACAAAAGGAAGGTTAAGGGTGACTGAATCACAGTCTAAAGACCTACATGGGGAACAGAAATGCAATAATAGATGACTCTTCCATCTAGCAGAGAAAGATCTAACACCATCCAGTGGCTGAAAGTTGAAGCTAGATAAATTCAGACTGGAAATCAGGTGTACATTTTTAGAGGTGAGCCATTGGAACAATTTACCATTGGCCATGGTGGACTCTCCCTCACTGACCACTTTTACATCACAATTGGATGGTTTCCTAAAAGCTCTGCTCTAGGAGTTGCTTTGGGGAACATAGCACCATGACTGCTGACTGCCTCCTGAGCACCCCTCGTGGGCAGGGTGCCACAGCCCTGCCCTGCCTCTCTTCCCCCCACCCACCCCCTCTTCCTGGCCCTTTGAGAAATTACAGGTCAAAGGTGGTTCTAACCCCACAAGGGCGCCCATTTATTGAGTCCACGGGTACATACGGGCTTGCTAGACCTCCAGTCCAGTTCAGTGTCTCTCTGCTAATGATGCCAACATAATGCAAAACATAAACTCACCCAGTCTGCAGCCCAGCTGGCTTTACAGGCGCGCTCTCAGGTCTCCCTGCCTGGAGAGCTTTCCCCACTCTTTCCTGAATCTTCAGCTTCTCCTCTGCTGGCTGGGGCCCTACCAGGTGTCTTCTAGCTCCCTACAGCATCCCCAGGTCTAGCTGCAGTCTCCTGAGCTTGCCCTTTTACTGCAACTTCTTACTCTGTTTATTCTGGGATTAGTTGATTCAATCCAGGTGTGGCCCGTCCTGTAATCAGAGCTGTTTTAGGCTCTCCATTGCATGGGGCAAACCCCCCCGTTACAGGGACATGCCATGGCCTGTGTTACACAGGAGGTCAGGCACTTGATCACACGGGTCCTGTCTGGCCTTGGAATCTGCCGCAGGTGTGCTCTAGATAGGGGCAATACAGAGGCTCTAATCTATCTGGATGTCAGTAAAATATTTGTTACGTTGCCAGATGGACATTATTAGTAAAGCTAGAGAATATAAGGATTAGTACACAAATGAGGGGGGAGGGATAGCTCAGTGGTTTGAGCATTGGCCTGCTAAACCCAGGATTGTGAGTTCAATCCTTGAGGGGGCCATTTAGGGATCTGGGGCAAATAATGGGGAGTGGTCCTGCTTTGAGCAGGGGTTGGACTAGATGACCTCCTGAGGTCCCTTCCAACCCTGATATTCTATGATTCTATGAGGTGGGTACGGCACTGGCTAAAAGGGAGACAAGTTGTGATGAAAGAGGAACCATTAGGCTAGAGCGAAGTCACCAGGAGAGTTCCTCAAGGAGCGGTTGTGATGGTATCCCCAGGATATAACCTGGAACTGGGGTACTGCTGGGCCCCTTAACTCTCCAACCTGGGCTGTCTCTCACAATGCATTGCTAGCGACAAGCAGCAAACCCCTCCAGGTGCTGTGATCACTCAGCACAACCACATGGGGAGCCCCACACCCAGCTAGATTGCATGAATGCTCCCAGAGCCGCTCATGAATCACCCAGAGAAAGATACGAGCAAATCTCCCAAGCCCCCAGCCTTGCACCCCCAAAGTATACCGTCTTGCCCTGGTCAGAAGCCTGACCCCAGTATAAGTTTATTATCCAGTCCACCCCTCCCACGATGTCGAGAGGACACACACCAGCCTTTGTAAACTGAGGTGAGATTACCCAAGCACTTCAACCCAAATACACTGTTTTAGGTAAAACAGATTTATTAACTACAGAAAGATAGATTATAAGTGGTAGGCACAAAAGGTTAGAGATAGTTACCAAAGAAAATAAAAGGTAAATGTACAGTCTAAATCTTAAACCTTATTAGACTAGGCAGTATTTGGATCAAGCAGTTTTTCTCATTTCACTGGATGTTGCAGGTAGGTTATAGTTCTTAATACACAGGCTTCCCCTTTAAGCCTGGGACCAGTCTCCTCAGTTCAAGTCTTTGTCATCCCAGCATTGTTGTTGCTTCCAGTGTCAGTGGTGGAAGAGAAAGGCCAAAGCATGATGCCACTGTCCCCTATTTTATATCCTCGGTCCACGTGCCTAGAAAACAGAAGCCCAAACATGTCCTGGTGGGCTTTGTTGAGTCAAAGGGTTGAGCAATCCCCCACTGTGTGATGCTTCTCTTACAGAATTGTAAATCCCTTATTTACAACTCCCCTGCTGATTAATGGTCTTTTAACACCCTCCTAGGAGTTTATTGTTACTGAAGAACTGGCAGTAGACAACTCTCAAACTTACAACATATTTCAGTAACAACCATAGAGTAAAATCTCATAACTTCATACACACTAACGATATACATATTTTGACAGAACAACGGGTTTCAGTAGATCATGACCTTTCATATGATATCTTCCATGGCATGCTTTGTATGAAATATACCATAATTCTATTACAGGGGTGAATATTGGGGTTCCAGGATGTTTCTTTGAGGTACTGTGTGTCCCAGTGGTCTTGGGACCAATCTTATTTAATATTTTCATTAATGACTGGCACAAGAAGCAGGAGTGTGCTAATGAAATTTGCTGATGAGAGAAAGTTGAGAGGCCGATTAGAATATCCTACTGAAAGAACCGGTTGACCTTGAGGACTGGAGCAATGGAAATGAGATGAAGTTAAATAGTGCAAAGTACAAGGTGGTGCATTTAGGGGCCAATAACAAGCATTTCTGCCGTCAGCTGGGGACTCCTGGGGTGGAAATGACTGGCAGAGAAAGAGCTGGAGGTATTAGTTGATCACAGAATGATCACTGTGATGCAGCCACAAGAAAGGCAAAGATGCACCAGGCAAGGTATTTCCAGTGGCAGTAGGGACGGCTAATGCCATTGGGCGGCGCACTGGTGAGACTGCATCTGGCACACTGTGGGAAATTCTGGTGACCCACATTCCAGAAAGATGAATTGCAATTGGAACAGGTGCAGAGAAGGGCTATTAGGTGATCAGGGGAATGAAAAGCCTATTTTATGCACGGAGACTTAGAGACCTAGGCTTGTTTAGCCTAGCAAAACAAAGAAAGAGGGGATAGAGTTGTTTTCTATAAATACATTTGGGAGGGTTTGCACAGGAACAAATGGGGATAAACTGGCTGTGAATAAATTTAGGCTGGAAGTTAGAAGAAGGTTTCTAACCATTAGAGGACCGAGGTTCTGGACCAACCTCCCAGTAGGAAGAATCAGGGTAAGAAAGGTAACTACTTTTAAGGAGCTTGATGAATTTATTATGGGGATTATATGATGGGGTTGCCTCTGATAGCAGGGGCTGGAATCACTGACCTGGGAGGTCCCTTCCAATCCTGTGTTCTTATGTTCAAAGTGGATGAAGATTTGGTACACAAGAAGAGACATCTTGATACTGATAACAGTTTATTTAACAACCCCTCAGCATTTTCCTTATGGTGAATATTACTCCAATGTCTCCTAGGTGACAGTCAGTGAACCTTCCTCAATTTCAGGGGTCCAATTTTGCTCTTGCCCAGGGAAAAAGAGGCTTATTTTTGTCTTTTCTGATTCACCGTGCTTGGCAGCTACCAGGTATCTCTGAACAACATGTTCACAAAGTTTAGCCTTTTCGTAGTCAGATACACCAATTTGTTTTAAGAATGTCTTTCATCTCAGAGTGCAGCCTGCAAGTTGCTGAGGTTCTGCTATTTTCATCATCACTAAAGACCCCTCTCATTGGTCTAGTTGGTGGCCTGGAACCAGATACATTATTTCAGCATATTCCATTATCAATTATTTAAAAGACCTGTTAGAAGAGGGATAACAAAGCTTAACAAAGGGCCGATAACCTTCCCAAACTGTTATGCAATCTCCGTCTTTCTTGTTAGGGCCAGTCTCTCATTGTTTCGTTTCTAATAAAGCCTCATCTCTGTTGGCAGGCTTACCTGTTGGGGCTCCAGGGGGTCATTTCCTTTTAAAGTATTAAGCTCCAATTCTGAGATTGGCTACTATCACATCACCAGAGGCAGCACACAAAATAGCCTCTCTCTGCTACAGGGTAGCTTTGGTGAGCAGTTTTAAAAGGATCACATTTCTCCACATATGTCTTACTGCCAGCAAGTTTGTACCCAGATCTTTTGGGACCTGCGGACACAAACTCCAAATTGTGTTCCTTTGGCAGTATCTCATTGGTCAGATCCCCTAAACAATCCCTCAGCAATGGCGTCCAATCCCCTTCTTTATTCACAAAGATCACAAGAAGCAGTGTCTGCAAACAGTCTAACCATTGGTAGAGCTCTTGCCTAGCAGAAGCAGTGGGGGAGTTGGGGGGGGAATCCCCAACCCGTCTATCACTAGCTTTCATGGCCTTCCATTCATGTTCCCATGTCATCCTCACCTCAGGGCCTTGCCTCCTCAGAAATTCAGGCTGCGGGTGCAGTGATTGCGCTGCCTGGAGCCCCAGAGCTGGGGGCGCTGTGGCCGTGCCCCCCAGGGGTTGTGGGCACGGAGGCTGTGGTGCATCGGGAGGGGGGCCTTGCCCCCCACCCCTAGCTGTCCGGGGCTGGGGGCCGCGGTTGGGGGTGGTTTGGGCTCCTGCAGGGGAGGAGGAGATAAAAGGGGAGGGGAGGGGCCTCGGGAACAAGGGGAGGAGCCAGGAGTTAGCCTCCTGCTGCCGTGGCTAGCAGCAGTTCAGAAACGCCGCTTTCTCTCCAGGCCTCATGTGCTCTGCCCCAGGCCTAGGACCCACAGCTTTCGGATTCTCTGAGGTGCTGAAAAAAATGTGGGAAATGCCACTTGCCTCCTTCTGACTCCATGGCCTTGGGCAATTTGCTGAGCTTCATGGACAGAAAATTTACAGAATCTACAAGTATGATTTCTCAGGCCCCCCGTTGGACACATGAGTTTTCCACCCTGCATTAGAATGTCAATGCCCATATTTTTCCTTAATCAACGAAGGATAAAAACTGTCGTAACTCTCAGTGTTGTGGACAATAAAGGTGAACCCCTTAAAATACTTGTCAACAAAATTGAGAACAAACTCAGTGACACAGTCATCCCCTTTAAAGTCCCAACTGGATGCATTATCTAACTGCCTGGCATAGATATAATTTGGCACATAGCCCAGTTTCTTGCATGCCTTCAAAGTCATATAAGAGATAATCCTCACCCTCTTCTCGAAAGCGAGGACTACATACAAAACACTAGGGGCCATTCGTGCTGTCAGTCTGCTCATAACACCGGGAATATGTCTTGCTTTCACAGTAGTGATTTTTAACATTGTATAAATCACACCTACCACAAAGACACTTAGTGTCAGTCAACTTTACCAATTGCTCCCAAAGTTCTGGGTTTTGCTACACAGACATTAGACCTGCAAAATAGCTTACAGCTGGACCACCCCAGTCTTGCCCCATACACTTCAACACCGTCTGTATTTACACATGGACAGCAGTGCTTTTCACAGGCATGGTGGTGTTAGCTGGGGATATTATACTGACCCCCAAAATCTTCACACTTTACAAATGATCTCCTGGAAACTGGTGTTACAGGATTTAAATTAAGAGGGTTTCTGATAGCAAAAGTCAATAGGTGCTAATTATCAATAAATATAAAAGATTATGAAGAAATTCATTACTCGGCCACTTGGTCTTTTCCCCTCTGGTTCATCACCCCCGAAGGGGTGAAACCAGTCCCACAGACACAAGTTTACTTTGGCACATGCACTCCAAGAATGTGCACCCCAGAGACCTGCTTGGGGTGAAAATAAACAAAAGCGTTATTTAATAGACACGGCACAGACTCAAAGATCAAATAGTAAGGAAAAGCAAACCTGGACAAGCTCCACAAAAATAAACACAAAGATGCAACCTCAGGCTTTACCCTTTCAAATTCAATAAAATGCCTCCGATGAAGTGAGCTGTAGCCCACGAAAGCTCATGCTCAAATAAATTGGTTAGTTTCTAAGGTGCCACAAGTACTCCTTTTCTTATTGCGAATACAGACTAACATGGCTGCTACTCTGAAACTTTTCTAATACAGGATACCTATTGCCTTTGACCCGGTTCCTACCAAACCCCCTGCCATTGAGGGGAGCCAGTGTTTCAGAGAGCACCCGCCAAGTGCGCATCCCTCAGTTTCTAGATGCATTTCATTTCATTCCCATCCCTTGCATTTTAAAAGGACTGTTCTTCTTCAGTCACTATAGCTACTCGATGTGAGGAAATTCCTAGTTTTCTCAGTGTCTGTCTATTAAATTGAATGTTGCCTTTTCCTTGGTTGTACAATGGATTGTTACTTGCACTGGGTTTTGTGTAAACACCTGTCTCGGGAGGTCTCTCTTCTTTCTGATTGCTTACTGTCCTGCTGCGGAGTGGTGCCTAAGTGTTATGAACACAATTCTCTATATACACAAATACTTAAATTGATAACCATAACCTGTATGCATAGCTCATAATGATCACTCCACTCAAAACATTACACATTTTCATAAAAGACTTTACTTGGCATGTTTTTAATAGTACAATAACACAGCATACAATCATAAGAACATAAGAATGGCCATACCGGATGAGACCAAAGGTCCATCCAGCCCAGTATCTGTCTACCAACAGAGGGAGTGAATCTAACAGGTAATGATCTAGTGATCTCTTTCCTGCCATCCATCTCCACTGTCTGACAAACAGAGGCTAGGGACACCATTCCTTACCCATCCTGGCTAATAGCCATTAATGGACTTAACCTTCATGAATTTATCCAGTTCTCTTTTAAACCCTGTTCTAGTCGTAGCCTTCACAACCTCCTCAGGCAAGGAGTTCCACAGGTTGACTGTGCACTGAGTGAAGACGAACTTCCTTTTATTTATTATCTTATCTTACTCAACTGCTTATTCTTGGGGTTCAACGCTCCCACCCCGTTGTCCCCTCGGGGTGTCTGGATCCTGACTGTCACAGTTAGGTATGCCTTTCATTAGGGCATCTGTCTGCCATTTTTAAAGGCACATGCTAAAGATGTTGTGTAGAAAGAGGCAATTTGATTCCTGGTACAGAATTAAAACCAAATAAGGTTAACTGCTAAATTTACGTAGGTTTTATAAAAAGTTGGTGGAGAAATCTACATGCATTCCTTTTGGCTGGTATTTTTAACTCTGATTTATGTTTTAATGTGTGACAATGAATAAAATGCTATGTTCAGCATGATTCAGGAAACTATGGGTCAGTTAGATATTGATGGATAAATCCATAAAGTACTGTGCTCAGCAGGACTCAGAAAAATGTGACCCGTTGTAATATTGTGTGATGTGTCATCCCACTAGAGGTTCCGTGATTAAAGAATACCTTCTGACTGGCTCAGCCAATGAGGTTATCACAAGCTCCTAGAATAGAGGTGGGGGGAAAGGAGGAGTCCTTGTGGCAAATTTATTTGGGCATAAGCTGTCATGGGCTAGAACCCAATTCATCCAATATATGAAGTAAAAGATACAGGAGCAGGTATAAATACATGGAAGGATGTGGGCTGCTTTACCAAGTATCAGGTCAGTATAAACAGAGCAGTTTGTGTCATTTGGCCAGTAACTGTCTGTGGGATGAGATGCTTTTTTCTGCCCTCTGCCTTTTTTTCCTTTCTTGCTGTTTCAAAACCTTTTTGGTCATCTCTGAAAGATGTCCCCTGTAGTATGGGACTAGTTTTCTGGATGCAGGTTTTCTATCACTAATACTTTGTGATCTTTGTGCAGTTGTTTAAATCAACTATCTTTAGAAGTGTAATAACTGCATACAATTCTTTTTGCTAAAATGTATGCTTATATATCTATTAATACTCCTCCTTTATTCCTGTCATTAATACTTTGCATAGGTATTGAATGATTTTATTTAGAAATGCACTAACTACATAAAAATATTTTTCCTTTAAAAATGCATGTTATATATATAATATATATACACACACACACACACACACACTGATACAGATATATGTATTAACAATTCTTTATTCCGCTGCTACTAAGATTTAGTAAGTTATTTAGTGATTTTATTTAGAAATGTGCTGTGTTAAAATTATTTTTCTGTAAGAATGCAGGTTAATCCTCCTCCTTTATTCTTCTAGAATTCTGACTTCATACACCTGTTTACTAGTCTTTATTTAGAACTACCCTAAATGCATTCCCAGAGAGGAGTTATCAATGGTTCACAGTCATACTGGAAGGGCATGATGAGTGGGGTCCTGCAGGGATTGGTTCTGGGTCTGGTTCTGTTCAATATCTTCATCAATGATTTAGATAATGGCATAGAGAATATACTCAAAGTTTGCAGATGATACCAAGCTGGGAGGGGTTGCAAGTGCTTTGGAGGAGAGGATTAAAATTCAAAATGATCTGGACAAACTGGAGAAATGGTCTGAAGTAAATAGGATGAAATTCAATAGGGACAAATGCAAAGTACTCCACTTAGGAAGGAACAATCAGTTCCACACATGCAGAATGGGACATGACTGCCTAGAAAGGAGGACTGTGGAAAGGGATCTGGGGGTCAGAGGGGATCACAAGCTAAATATGAGTCAACAGCGTAACACTGTTGCAAAAAAAAGCAAACATCATTCTGGGATGTATTAGCAGGAGTGTTGTAAGCAAGACATGAGAAGTCATTCTTCTGCTCTACTCCACGCTGATTAGGCCTCAGCTGGAGTATTGTGTCCAGTTCTGGGTACCACATTTCAGGTAAGATGTGGACAAATTGGAGAAAGTCCAGAGAAGAGCAACAAAAATGATTAAAGGTCTAGAAAACATGACCCATGAGGGAAGACTGAAAAAATTGGGTTTGTTTAGTCTGGAGAAGAGAAGACTTGAGAGGGGACATGATAACAGTTTTCAAGTACATAAAAGGTTGTTAGAAGGAGGAGGGAGACAAATTGTTCTTCTTAACCTCTGAGGATAGGACAAGAAGCAATGGGCTTAAATTGCAGCAAGGACAGTTTAGGTTGGACATTAGGAAAGACTTCCTAACTGTCAGGGTGGTTAAGCACTGGAATAAATTGCCTAGGGAGGTTGTGGAATCGCCATCATTGGAGATTTTTAAGAACAGGTTAGACAAACACATGTCAGGGATGGTCTAGATAATACTTAGTCTTGCCTTGAGTGCAGGGGACTGGACTAGAGACCTCTCAAGGTCCCTTCCAGTTCGATGATTCTATGATTATAAAAAGAATATTTTCCTCCAAAAACTAGGAAAAGGCATGAAAGCTGTATTTATTCGTTTAGTTCTAATGTATCCAATACAGATAAATTAAATAATTTTGTACAACTCTTTTCAAAATGGGCAATGGTGCCAAAAATGAGAGCTAGGGGCAGATCATAAGGCAAAAAGTGATGTGTGGAAACCTGTCATGTTTATATAATTCTAAAAGCTCTGCATTGGCTAGAGATTCTCCCATCCAGATGCTGATCTCACTGAAGACCCTTCCTCTGTTCAAAAACAGGAAAGACAATACAGCAGTACACATGCAATGGTCCCACTGTTGACAACATCCACTGAAAGCACAAAGAAAAGGACTCTTTGGACCTGCCAGCCCCCTATGTTTATGCAGACCCAGCTGCAATGCCTGTCTCAACACCACCGACAGGCACTAGGCCCTTGGGGCCTGGTCAACCCAACATGCCGGCTGGGGCCCAGCCTGCTACCCAGAGCTCTAGCCAGCCACAGTCCTCAGCTCCTGGCCTTTGCCAGGCTTTTTGCCCCCCAGCAGAAGCAGTCTGCCTGCTTCCCTCCCAGTCAGCCTTCTGCTGCAGAGCTCCCCTCCTCTTCAGCCCACCACCAGCACAGGTATATCAAGGCAGGGTTCACTGGCCTCCTGGCCATAAAGGGGCAGTCAACCTTGCTACCAACTCCCCCAATATCTCAAATATCAGTTTTGCAGCAAGACCAAGAGAGATGCCGCTGTATATTTTCCAATACGCATTACAGCTTGTCTTGGACAGCCGTGTCCTGTCTGTGACTTTTGCTGCTGTGGCTCCATGGTGGCTGGAAGCTGTGGGGTTCCCCCTCTGCCCATGGCAGCTGGAAGCTGCGGGGCGGGGGAGCCCTCTGCCCAGGGTGGCTGGGAGCTGCAGGGTGACCATATTTCCCAAAGAGAAAATGGGACACCCCCACCCGCTCGCCTAAGGCATCCCCCGGTGCGAGGCTGTCGTCCATCACTGGAACCCTGAGGAGGGCCCCCTCAGGAGCCTGTCACCTGTCGCTGGAACCTTGCAGGTGGCCCCATGAGGAGGCTGGAGGCTGTCGCCTGTCTCGGGAACCCTGCCAGGGCCCCACTGGCTGTCAGCTCTAGAGTCCTGCAGCCCCTGGGGCTGAAGCAGAGAATGTCAGGGATTCAGGACTTCCATGACCTCCATGACATAAACGTCGCCTTAATTATTATGGATTTCCAAACTAAATTAGGCAGGTGATGAGTCAGGTCAATATGCAACCATGAGGCCCACAGCATATTTATATCAGACACCAGAGCATCCCTGTGCTGCAGTTATAACTACACAACCCAAACCAGTCCATCTTGTCACTGACCCTCCGTATCAAGAGCCTGAGACTGGCCCCAAGTAATCAACCACCACACTGTAACAGTTGTGATGGGGCTCGTTAGCAATTACCCCAGCAAAGGTGAGCGTGTAGCTCATAGAGCTGGCGTCTTAGCACTGACACAAAGGAACGTATAGGCCTGTATCCTGTAAGACATTAGCTAAGCAGTTAGCATAAGGCTCCAGCTGTTTCCTTCACAGGCTGATGGAGGAATCTTCCATCAAGCCAACTTGTTTGTCACCAAGTTCGATGCCGGCATGTCGTTCCAGAGGTATTTGGTATGTACAGAACACACTTGCAAACTGAATTAGAGACAACACGACAATTCCTTGCTCTGGCAATAGTGCAACTTTGCAAATGCAGACCGTGATGACAGATGCTGAATTAGACTTGCTGAGTTAATCAGTAATCCAGAGTCCAGAGAAGCTGTTGTTTCCATCAGTATATCAGGTGCTGAGGGCCGTCCACCAGAGGAGGTTCCCTAGGTGGCTGGTATCTAAGGAAGCAAACTCCTACAGTCCCCACAGACACTGGGCTCATTGTCGTGAGTGAAGTGAATGTGCCCATAGAACTTTGGGGATGCTGTCCCATGAATGAAGTTTGCACCTGGGTGTCTGGCTTTGCTCAGAGGCCTGCCTGGCACTTAATTCACTTGTTAATGCTCCTTATTTTGCTGGACTAAGTACCGCGGTAACAGGTGGACTCTGTTGGACTCCTTCCTTTTGTTTCTCTCTCTAATTATTGCTCTGGATACCATCCACAATCAGCAAAGCTTTCTTGAAGTCCAGCTGACCCTCCGCAGCATCCTGAGTTGATGGCCGATCTGATTTTCAGATTCCTCTGAAACATTATTTCAGAGTCTGGTGCTCAGTAATGCTGGTCTCCTGCTGAGAGAAGCTAGAGGTGGTTGACTGCAGTGCTACCGTGTGGTCCACGGCCACCTTAATTTTTAGTATGTAGTCCACTTCCCAACCTTACTTTTAGTTTGGGCAGGAGGCAGTCATCCTTACCATTAACGCGTAGGTGAGGTTTGCAGCCCCACTTAATGACAGCATCGTTGCACCACATGTCACTAGAGCTGCCTGAGAGCAAGTCACTTGATGATGAAAACAGTTACATCTACAGGACTGGACTAGACTGTCCAGAAAGAGAAAATTCAGTTTAAATCTCTTGATGGCCATGTGCTCAATATACACTGAAAAACATAATTCGCCATTCAATCATTGCAGCATTACAAAGCTGCATAGTGATCATCCCAAACAAGCCCGAGATAAGTACTGAACTGCACCAATGAAACAAAAACAGAAGGGACACTGCCTGGGAACACCAGCCTGCAGAGCGGGCGTAGGTTGCTCGTGACCGCTCTGCCATAGGTTTGCAGTCGTCTCTAAGGGGCTCTGGAATCTTTCTGCCTAATCCCAACATTCCACTGACGCAACAACATAAAAAAGAGGCTGCTAATTGTTGGCACTGGGGAATGCTGAATTGATGTGTGACATCTAGCTCCACTCCTTAATGACCATGCTGCTGTGAATAGTGCCTCCAGCCAGAGCCTGGGCTAAGAAACTGAGCTCCCCTCAAAAGGAAAGCAAGATGTCCCAAGTCTCTTTGCCCCCTGGAGGACATTAGTTCCTCTCCAGCATTGTGTCGCGGATGGGAATTGTGGTGGAGGAAGTGAGTGTTCTCAGAGGTAACCCTGCCATGCCCTTTATAACCTCAGCACATGCTCAACGGTCACACCGATTTCTCTGCACTTGAGCAGCCACAGGGCAAAATCTTTTGTTTGCTGCTGTTATCCGATGGAGCTATACCCATGTTGTTCAGTGTGGAGTTCTGACAACTTCATAGCTTGCCTGGCTTCCCTCTACTCACAATTCCCCATCACAGGGGACAATCAGCCAGCTCCATAAAAGAGAACGGGGAGGCACGGGACAGTGCTGTTGCTGTGAGATTTCCCTGGAGTTTA